TGACTTCATGACCACAGACGTGAGAGCGACAGGTCTGTATTCGTTAAGTCCAGTGATTTTGGGTTTTTTGGGGACCGGAATGATAGTGGAGCGTTTGAAGCAGCAGGGAACTTCACACAGCTCCAGTGATCTGTTGAAGATCTGTGTAAAGATGGGGGCCAGTTGGTCAGCACAGACTTTTAGACAGGCAGGTGAAACACCATCTGGGCCTGAAGTTTTCTTAGTCTTCTGTTTCCTGAAGACCCGGTTCACATCCTCTACACAGACCTTAAGTGCAGGTTGAATGGTGGGGAAGGCAGGAATGGAGGTTGCAGGGGGGTGGAAGAATGTGTGAAGTGCAGATCAGAGCAGATGGTGGGTGGTAGACTGGCCTTTTCAAACCGGCAGTAGAACACATTCAGATCGTCAGCAAGTTGTTGATTCTCCACAGACTGTGGGGGTGGTGTCTTGTACTTAGTGATGTTCCTCCGATCAGTCCATACTGACGCCGGGTCGTTGGCTGAAAACTGCTTTTTCAGCTTTTCAGTGTAGTTGTTTTTAGCCACTCTGATCTCCTTTGTCAGTCTGTTTCTGGCCTGGTTGTACAAGATTTTATCCCCACTTCTGTAAGCATCCTCTTTGGCATGACGAAGCTGTTTGAGTTTCCCAGTAAACCACGGTTTATCATTATTGAATGATAAGAATGACCTGGTGGGGATGCTCATATCCTCACAGAAACTGATATATGAAGTTACAGTCTCTGTGAGCTCGTCCAGATCGGTGGCTGCAACTTCAAAAACACTCCAGTCAGTGCAGTCGAAGCAAGCTTGTAAATCCCGCTCTGCTTTATTAGTCCATCTTTTTACAGTCCTTAGTACAGGTTTAGCTGATTTCAGCTTCTGCCTGTAGGTCGGTATAAGATGAACCAGGCAGTGATCAGAGAGCCCCAAAGCTGCCCTTGGGACAGAGTGATATGCATCCTTTATTGTGGTGTAACAGTGATCCAATATATTACTGTCTCTGGTTGGTCATGTAACATGCTGTCTGTATTTTGGCAGTTCGCAGGAAAGATTTGCTTTGTTAAAATCTCCAAGAATGATTAAAAGAGAGTCCGGGTACTGTTGCTCAGTTTCAGTAATTAGTTCAGCCAGCTGTTGCAGTGCTGCGCTCACGCACGCGTCCAGAGGAACGTACACATTGACAAGAATGAACGAGGAAAACTCCCGCGGCGAGTAGAAAGGCTTACAGTTTATGAAGAGCGCCTCTAAGTTAGGAGAGCATATCTTTTTCAGAGTTGTTACAACTGAACACCATCTTTCGCTGATATAGAAACACAATCCACCACCTCTCGTTTTCCCCAGTAACTCCGCGATGCGATCCGCTCTGAACAGCTGGAAGCCCGGCAGATGAAGCGTGTTTTCCGGAATGGCTTCACTCAGCCAGGTTTCAGTGAAGCACAATGCAGCAGAGTTTGAGAAGTCCTTGTTGATGCGGGTGAGGAGAAGTTGTTCATCCTTTTTGTTAGAAAGGGAACGGACATTGGCAAGTTCAAAAGCCACGCTTGCCTCTTCTGCGTCTGAGTGCGCATTTGAACAACACCGCTGTACTTCCGACTAGAATGTCCAACAAAACATCCAAATAATCAAAAAACTGAAAAATATTGTCTGGGATGTGTTGCTTAATGTTAAGGAGTTTGTCTCTGGTAAAACCTATAGAAGAAGAATGACTAAATACAGAACAAACAAACAAAAACAGCAGAAGAATTGTGGAGCTCAGTGCCGTGGCTGCCATTCGTGGCGCCATCTTGATCTCGATCAATTTATGCAGTTAATAGATTACACTAACGTAATCTGTGTTGTAGCTGTGTGTTTTTGTTCCCCCAGTCCCTAATACACAATTCTCCCACTATACCATCATAATAATGAACAGAATTACCTCACGTCCTCACATTATTTCATTTTTAAAGAGATTACTTGTGTGCCAAGTATACTGATCACGCCCCTTCTCTACACAAAGATTTTGGTTCTTTTGGAGCTGCCATCAAACTTGTTTACAGCTTTTGTGCTTCTCTCTAATAGAGATTGGCACAATCTGCCCTAATGTTGTCTCTATTTCACCGTGAACAGCTGCTATAAGATAATATATATATATATATATATTATATTATATTACTTTTTATATGCTTGCTTTCTTTTTAAAATGTTTAAAATGTTTTCAAATTATTATTATTATTATTTTTTGTGTAATGATTTTTGTTATTTATAATGATTTATAATGCATTGGCACGATATTAGTAAAGTATCGGCTATTTGGTTTTTATGAGCCAATTCTGAATATTTAATTTATTCTGCATATTTTAAGATTATAAGATCAGCATTTCACACAAATGTAAAAGGATAACAATAGATAATGGCAAAAACTCTTGAAGTGCACTTTTCCTTTAAAACCACATATCAGAGTTTTTAGTGTTTATCTTTTTAACACTGTAACATTGATTTATAATATCAGTCATTTATTGGTAGTAGTTGTATATTATTAGACTTTATATATACATTAAATTAACCTGCTGTATTACAATGAAAGCTGTGACACTACTGCACATGGAAGTTTCTCTTTGTTTTCCTTACTTTCTGGCTCACATGGCTTTATGTCTTTACCCCTCTCCTCCACTCTGTCCTCAGACTCAAGACTCTTCGTTGTTGTGTGTTTTTTTTTTTTTTTTTAGGGATCCCAAACCCCTCACACTGACATGACAAATAGGGCATCAACTGAACAGTTTGTTTGATCAATTGCTTTTTGGCTCACCGGGCTATCGTCGATAGAGCAGATCAATTCTTAAATAATGGTGGCCAATGAGCGAAGTGAAAGTTTGGAGTGCAGGCAGTTAAGCTGATCCATCTCTTTGGGGTGCGATCGTTTGCAGCAACGCAAAACGTAATCACCCAGTCGATTCTCTACAATTCTCAGTCATGCTGACTCTTAGCCTTGAATTATCTAGAGGCCGGCATGCACGCAGTGTGAATTAGAGCACACCTACTTGTTCAATAAATCCCCCATCCCTCCACCCCCCACAACCTCTTGTAGCTGTTTGCCAGTCAGGAAGTAATGTATCATACTTGTTTTCTCTGAATGTTTGATGGAGGTTTGAGGTAGAGGTGTTTTGAGCGAGAAAAGGGTTATGGTCTTATTAATCTTTTATATTTACTCATCTGCCTGAGTAAATCTGGAAGGACAGGTACTGTATGTCTCTGCTGTACACAAATGTAACCTTACACCAGGATATTTTACTTTTATTTGCTTTCTGATATTGTCATGAGAATGCCATGAGCTTATTGCAGGTATGATTCCTCTGAAGTTACATAGGGTTTAAGGACTTTGCTCAATGATGCAACTGGTTATGGATTCTTACAGCGATCAGACCTGGAAACTTTCTTTTTACTTACCCTGAACCTTCACCACTGCATCATGCCGTCACTGGGCCAGCAGGATTCAAACTTGTTTTAAAAGCATAAATAGATTAATGGTCCGTATGTTAGCACAGGGGCTAAAATATTAGCACAAATCCACTCCCAAGTCCGTTTTATTTTCATTCGTTGTCATCTTGACCTTTTTTTGTTAGTTTTTTTTCCTTACTGCTTTCCTTTCATTTTCTTCTTTCACTTTCCTACAGTGTGGTTAATTTTTATTTTATTTTATTTTTAATTATATTTATCGCAAATGGTTAGCTGTTCATGGTTACGGTTACATTTATTAACATTAATTTTAGGTATCATGAATTAACAATGAACAATGTTTTTTTATAGTATTTATCATTCTAAGTTAATGTTAATTTAAAACTACAATTTGCATTAATTCATGTGTTAATAAAATTATTGTTCATTGTTAGTTCATAATACTTACTGCATTAACGTCTTAAACTGAACTGAACCTTATTGTGAAGTGTTACTCAAATACTGTTCAAAGGTGTGGGGTCAGTAAATTTAAAAAACAAAACAAAAAACTTTTATTCAGCAAAAATGCATGAGGCTGATTAAAAGTGATAAAGACATTTATAATTTTACAAAATATTTTTATTTAAAATAAATGCTGTTCTTTTGAACTTTCTATTTATCCTGTAAAACAGTGGTTGCCAACCCATTGATCACGAATCACGATCGACTGGTAGATCTTTATCACTGTTCCAGTAGCTCCGAAAAATAACAGAAAAATAAGTACAAAAATACATTACACTTCTCCATTCTTTTTACTGTATTTTTTTGTACTTATTTTTCTGTTACTTTCGGGAGCTACTGAGACAGTGATAAAGAAAAATACATCATGCCTGAGTCTGTAAACAGGACGTTAACAGAGGCCAGAGTCGCTGAAGAGGAGAAAATACTGTAGCATAGCAGCTCACTGTTCACGAAATACAGCAAGAAAATATAAATACTGAATTGGGGGTGAGGGGTTATATGAATATGTATCACTGAAGGGAACTGACTGTCTTCAGAAAAGTTTCAAATAGCAATGGCATTTTCTTCTCCTCTTGCCTCTATATAAAGTGGTATTTTTAAGTGCAGTGCTGCTTTGTTTACAGCGGTAACCAAGGAAACGCTGAATTGCTGATGTTTTTTTTAAGGCCAGTTTGCTTGTTATAGAGCAAATGACCAATAAATAAATGTCCTTAAAAAAAAAAAAAAAAAAACGGAATCGGCCATGAATAATCATGATCGGGGCATCACTAATTAAAACACTAAATAAAAGGCCTCAAATTGGAAGTACAATCTTTTTCTATCAATTCATCAATAGGTAGATCTTGTCTTTCATAAAGGCAGAGGTCAGGGATCTTGGGCTTGAAAAGGTTGGTGACCACTGCTGTAAAACAATCATGGTTTTCACAAAAATATTTTGTGAAAATATTTTGGATAATGTGACACTGAAGACTGGAATAATGGGTGCCTAAAATTTAGCTTTGCCATCACAGGAATAAATTACATTTTAAAAATATATTAAAATAGAAAATGGTTATTTTAAGTTGTAACACACCTCCTCCTCCTCCTCTGGCGCTGGGCGCGCTGACATCCTCCACAATCCAACTCATATTGCCTTTCGGCCTCAAACCCAAGAAGGAATTCAAGCCAGAGACTTCCATTAAGCGCCTCAATTGGTCCAAGGTAACATTTTCTGTACCGTAAATAACTTTTCTTTAGTCTTTAACTTCACTTAAACCCTTACAGGACAGAATCCTCCTTTGGTGCTCAAATGTGGTGGCGACTAGCATAAAAGGACAGATGTTTGTGAAGTAACCGAAGAAAACTTTCCTGCCAAGCGTCATTAAAGCAAATGTTGCTCTGTTGTGAAGGATCACACTTTGCTGTATGACTGGCTGCTCTGGTTTCTCGGCAGATGTTGCAGCACGATGTCTTTCGAGTTGTGTTAGTTTATAACATTAAGATTAATATTTAATCTCTGTCCTTTTTGCCACCATCATACAGATGTTTTTAAAGAACCCACCACATGCTTCATTTCATCCAAAACCTGTTTGTAATTAGCCATTAGGAGGACACAAATAAGCTTTTTTTGAACAGCTGCTTGAGAAACATACAATATTCATGGCTCTTGACCTAAGACTTTTAATATTCATTAACAAGAGCTTTGCAGCTCAGGAAGCCAAAGACAAGACAACTGGTTAGGGCTGGGCGATATAGCTAAAAAATGTATCAACGATATATCCACAAATTCGCTACGTGTTTTCTAAAAGTTTAAACTGTTTTAAATTTGCATGGCTACATCTCTTGTGTGAGACGCGAGTGCAGCAGTCATATTGCGCTGAATGGCTTGGTTTTGGTTTTCACCTAATCAAGATCTTCTCCGCATTGAGCTTCTATATTTCTCTAATATTTTGAATGAATAAC